GCAGAGAGTCAGGCTCTAGAAGCAATGATATTGGTTTAAAAACCCTACGCTTTAAAAAATGCACACCCCTTTTTCATTGCCTTGGAGTTTGAGACATTCAGGGGTCACGTTTTCAAGCCTTTCTATTCAACCATAAGAGACAAAAAATTACTTAAAAAATCAGGAGTCATGGTAGAAGTGATATCTTTTATTAAACCAACTAGATTTTTGCAAAAAAAAAATCTTTAATTGCAAGTTTTTTGTAAAAATCTAGTTGGTCTAATAAAAGACATCATCTCTACCACGAGTCCTGATTCCTTTTGCCACCAGACCAATACAGCTACAACCTGGGTACCTTAAAAAAATATGAAATCTGGGATTGTCTTGCAATCACCTGACCCCAGAAACTGGGGCTTTTAAAACCATAAAAGTGGTCTTCGTGAGGAGGGAAAAGGAAGCAGACAAATCATGCTAAGGGAGTTGCACTTCTATTTCTCACATTATCTATCATCATTATTCACTGTCTTATGTTTGCTCATGCACATATGTTAGCATCTTTCCTAGCCAAAGAATGGCAATCTTTTTTTTTTTAAAAAAGGGTGAAAATACTGACTTTCAGGACAATCCAGCTTCTTTTCGTGCAACATTTACCTACAATAAGAAGATGAATATCAGGGGTTTTCTTCAGCTATGGCTGTTTGAAACTGTTATCACGAAACCTGAAGACAGGAGAGCTTAGTTGGGAGTTTTTCCCTGCAACTGGGCTCAAGTTTGAATTTGGCCCCAGGTCTGTGTGTTAAAAATGCTCTCCCTCTCTCTCAGGTGGATGGAGTGAGTGCTATCCCCCCTGCCCGTCCTCACGAGGGAATCCAGATATTCCAGAGAGCAACAAGAATTTATATGCAGACAGATTTTGGCTTATCCATTAGCTATGATGGCTCTGAAAACTTAGGTAAGTGTGATCAAGAGAACCTACGGTAGCATTTATTTAATTTTATCCTTCCCATGACACCTTGTGTCCCAGAGGAGATTTCCACCCAAAACGAGACTAGAATCTTGTATCCTCTGAGCCCGTGACTCTCCTTTGCAACACGATGTCCCAGAAAACAGGGGACAGGCTGTTTCCCAAGAACTAGACAACCAGCAAAAGTGGTGCTTTTTTATCTGAGTACCTTTGTGTTTCATAAGTTTAGGGAAAATGGGGCTTGGATTGTTCCTGGTTCTATTCATGCAAAGCCAAACTTCAGCTAATGCTAAAGTAAAATCGCCCACAGTGGCTCATGGGGGTGATGGGATGAGGGTCAGACCTGTCCCTTGGTGGTTCTCCACTACCCCAGCAATGGCTGCTGCACCCTGAACCCTGGGATTGCAGGGCAGGTCCTTCTCCAACTTATCTCCGGATATATCTTAGCATTAGAGCCATGGGCCTGGTTCTCTTGCTTAAACCCAGTTTATTTCAGTGTAGACTCCACTGGCACAAGGAAGATCACTCCTTAGCTACCAGGTCTGAGAGCCACTCATGGGAGTAGAGGGGAAGGGTCCTTGTACCCACCGCCACAGCCCTGCAGGAAGGGAAGGCCTGTTTGATAGGACACCAGTGCTATTCAGTAGACTTTCCCCTGTGGGGTGAGGGATCCCTGCCAGCATCCCCTGCCTGCGGTCCGATCCTAGCACAGAGATGCCTACCCTTCCCGTCCTTCCCTCCTGTGCACTTGCTGGCGCTGGCTCCTGGTATCAGCGTCTCCTTCTGAAATCCCCCAGACATCACCCTGGCCAACACCTACAAGAAAAAAGTCGAAGGCCTGTGCGGTAATTTTGATAACAAGTACAGGAACGACTTCACCAAGCCTGACGGTTCCCGCGTGAGGAACGTGAATGTGTTTGGGGAGAGCTGGAAGGTCCCCGTCGAGAGATCGGCCCATCGGCTCAGGTACACCCTATATATGCACCGGGCCAAGGCTGGCTGCTTAATGAGGCCCTAATAACCTCCAGAGAGGCTGCTGGCACCCTCTTCCGCCTGATCTGTCTTCTTCCTTTCTGGGGTCATTCATGTATTTTTCTAGCTTGTGTGAGGAGGTGGCAGTGCCCCTGCAGCACCCCGGGTCAATGCCGCATCAGGGAGTTGCACCATGTCGGACTGGAGGGTGGGTGGGAATGGGGGTCTGGCCTGTTTCAAGTGAGGCTCATGGACCCTGGCACAGGGAGGGATCATTTACCTCCCTGCCTGCTGGGCTGGATGACGTGAGGAAGGCAGGGGCTGATCCAACATCCCCCTGCTTTTGGGAGGCAAGGGCAGCTTCCAAATGCAGCGAGGCTCCTCATGCTTCTGCTTCTGCCCTGACTCCCTGTGCCGCCTCGCTTCCCCGGCTCCGCTCCTCTTCCAGCCAGGACGTGGCGGGTCAAGGCAGTGAGATGTCCCCTTAAATCTGGCATTGCACCCCATCACTAAGAGTGCATTAGGGTGGGTACTGCACCGAGCAAACTGATGGGCGGTCAATGGCTTTCTGTTCCAGGCGAGATGCAGATGACGAGTCTGACACTGACGAGCTGGAAACCGGGCTCCTCAGCGAGTGCTCGGAAAGCCAGCTGGTCCATGTCAACAGCACTTCCAACTGCCGGGTCCTGGTGGATCCAGACGGCCCCTTCCAAGAGTGTCACTCCAATGTCTCAGCAGACTCCTTCCTGCAGTAAGTCCCCGGGATCGACAAAGGCCTTTCCCCCAGCTCTTCTTACAAGGTGTTTCTAGAGGCTCCACAGTCAGGTGCATCCACAAACAGCACAGCCATAGACAATGAGGGCTGGAAGGGCCCTCAGGAGGTCACATCTAGTGCAACCCCCTGCTCAAAGCAGGACCAGCCCCAGCTTCATCAACCCAGGGCTTGGAAACTTCCAAGGAAGCACCTGGTGCTGAGCCTGGTCACTCAGCTGGCATTGCACTGCCTCTCAGTGCAGTCTCCACCGTTCAGGGCATAACAGGGTAGCAAGGTCTCATGAGCAGCTGATCAGTAAACCAGAGGTATGGTTGAATGGTAATGGTGAGGATACAGGCTGATGTGGGAAGGATGCTTGCGTGCTGGCAGGGATCTAGGAAATTGGCTCTTAGCACAATGCAGTCCACGATGGAGCTCTGTCAGCCACCGGGAACAGAAATGCACGTGGCCGTGACAGGTACTCATGTCCTTGCTGCTCACATGGGTGCATGCAAATGCAAAGCCTGGGAGTAGCGGCTGCAGAACAAATTGACCCGATCCTCCCGGCGTCCCCAGGTTTGAATAGTCTTTCTTGCATTACTCAGTCAGAAATGTACTGGAAAGCCTTTGCAAGAGCCCCAGCACAGAATCAAGGGACAGCTGCTGGCAACACAGCGACAAATGTTTTGGGCATGAACGCTTTCTCGTGTTGCAGGAACTGCCTGTATGACATGTGCGTGGAGCCCGACAACAATGAGTTGCTGTGTCGGGACGTGGAGCAGTACGTGCTGATGTGTCAGGAGAGGGGCATCACTGTGCAGAACTGGAGGGAGCGGACGTCCTGTGGTGAGCACAAGACACACAAGTCAGGGTTTGCAGCTCAGAGAACCAAGGACCCCCACCCCGTCCTTCCCATAGGTCCCACTCTCTGCTTCCTCTTTATTGTGGCCCATTACAGTTTATCCAACTGAATTGTTTCCACACAAGAAGAGGCGGACCCCCTTCCCCCCCCTTCCCATTTTGATAGGCCTTGATCTCTCTTCTTTTGCTAATTGTGTGTCTGCTACACCCTTAGTGGCACACAACAGCCATAGAGCACCTTAATGTGCCCCATTCTTGCTGCTACTCTTTGGGCCCGAGTTATGTGCTGGCTTTCCTCATGGGGGTCCCGAGTCACAGAGGCCCTGAGTAAACCTGAACAGAAAATAGGGTCCCAGGAACCCAGTGCGCTGTGCTCCCCGCGTGCTGCAGCCTCCTGGTACAACGCACCTCTCCTGACTTCTATCCACAGCTCCACAGTGTCCCCCCAACAGCAAGTACAGCATATGCACGTCTGCCTGCCCCATTTCCTGCGGCAACCTGGAAGCTGCCTCGGAGTGCGACCTGCCCTGCGTCGAAGGCTGCGAGTGCCTGCCTGGATACATCCTCAGTGGCTTTGACTGTGTGCCCTACAAAGAGTGTGGCTGCACCTTCCTCAACCAGTACTACAAGGTGGGTGGGGACCGCTCCCCAACCAGCGTTTGGCACCAGTGGCCTCTCCAAATAATTCTTGCCAGTGCCTAATCTGTCCTGAATCATGCGTGGCTTCATGCTGGCCATTTGCTCCATGATGTTTTAGGGCTTGGAGAAAGGGAGGGGGATGGAGCAGGTCACAGCATGTTCCTGGGGTCCCTTCCTGCCTGTAGGAAGTGCCAGGAGCAGCACCATGGATGCAAGCACTTTGGGGGCCCATGCAACGGCACTGGAAAGTCTGGTCTCATCTGCCCCCTGAATAACTGCGCATGGAAGAAAGGACATCCTGGGCTTATAAATGTGTTAGGCACTGGTGACAGAGACCTGTCTTAGCACCTCACTGCGAGCCCAGTCCTGGCGGCTCTGAGCAGCACCAGTGGAGAGCTCACAGGCTCTGTGAGCATGCAAACGCAAACACGGCATGCCAAAATAAACAAGTTTAAAATTTTTAATGCTCATTAATGAGGATTAAATGCCATGGTGTGTACAAGTGCCCTCTGACATGGATGG